TACCCAAGTCAACTTCGGTCTTCCTCTACCTCTCTTCACGTTACTATCCTGGCTTAGGATATATCCACTGCTGCCAAATTTCAACATTTGGAATCCAAATTTAGTGCATTTGAATGTATACACGTGTAAGGTCCTAATGGCTAGAGGGGGAGTGAATAGCCTATTCAAAATTTCTACAACAACACTTAACAAACCGGTTAAACAAATATAAGGCAAAGCGAGTGTTGCGCTGGCCTACTAAAAATGCAAGCCACCTACCACAATTTTACTTTCTATAGTCTCTATCCACACAATGGCTATGTCACTACGCTAAGATAGTGTGCTCTCAAAAGCTAACTAAAGAGCCACACTAACCAAACTAACAAGCTCTCACGACTAGCTTGAAAGGTCTTAATATGGCTAGAGGGGGGTGAATAGCCTATTTAAAAAATCTACAAATCAACTAGAGCAATTTGATTAGTATAACAAATAGCGGAATGCAAACTTGCTCTAGCTCTACAAGGGTTGCAAGCCACCTATCCAACAATTCTAATTGCTATGATCACTTATCACACAATTTACTATGTCACTACTCACTAAGAGCTCTCACACTTGCTACACTAAAGAGCTCCACTAGATGAACTTAAAGTACAAGGCAAGCTCTCAATTTTAGTTACACTAAAGAGCTTGTTACAACTAGTTTGCAAGAATATAAATGAGTGAGTAGGGTGATTATACCGCCGTGTAGAGGAGTGAACCAATCACAAGATGAATACTAAACCAATCACCGGGAGAATACCAAAGGGCAAGAGACAATCAATTTTTCTCCTGAGGTTCACGTGCTTGCCGGCACGCTAGTCTCCGTTGTGTCGACCAACACTTGGTGGTTCAGCGGCTTAGAGGTGTTGCACAAACCTCGTCCACACAATTTGGATACCGCAAGAACCTACCCACAAGTGAGGTAACTCAATGACACGGGCAATCCACTAGAGTTACCTTTTGGCGCTCCGCCAGGGAAGGTACAAATCCCCTCACAATCACCGGAGATGGCCACGAACAATCACCGACTCATGCCAATCCTCTACCGCTGCACCAAGCCATCTAGGTGGTGGCAACCACCAAGAGCAACAAGCGAATCCCGCAGCGAAACACGAATACCAAGTGCCTCTAGATGCAATCACTCAAGCAATGCACTTGGATTCTCTCCCAATCTCACAATGATGATGAATCAATGATGGAGATGAGTGGGAGGACTTTGGCTAAGCTCATAAGGTTGCTATGTCAATGCAAATGGCCAAGAGAGTGAGCTTGAGCCGGCCATGGGGCTTAAATAGATGCCCCCACGAAATAGAGCCGTTGGGCTCCTCACTGCACAGAACATGGGCCGACCGGACACACCGGTCAGATTGATCGGACGCTAGACCTCAGCGTCCGGTCGTGCGATGTGCGCCACGTGTCATCGGCTTCAAACGCCGATCGCCCGATTTCAACGGTCAAGAGATGATCGGACGCGTCAGTTAGAAAGTGACCGGATGCTGGATCTCAGCGTCTGGCCATTTCCAGTAAGGTTCGAAACATGACATTTCACGACCAGACGTGTCCGGTCATGCTCGACCGGACACACCCTGTGTCCGGTCACTCAACGTTTCCTCTGTGCGCCTCACGTCAGCGTACGTCAGCACTGACCGGACTCAGACCATGAGCGTCCGGTCAGTTTACACTCTAGCGTCCGGTCACAAGACTGAGACAGTGTGCTTTCTGTTGTCACTGACCGGACGCTAGACCTCAGCGTCCGGTCACTGCACCACCAGCGTCCGGTCACTCTGTAAACCCCTGTCTTTTCTGTATAGGGCGCCGATGGCACCGTCAGACTATCCGCACTCTACGGGCGGACACTCCACCGGTGAAGTTTCTAACCCTTGCTCAAATGTGCCAACCACCAAGTGTATCACCTGGTGCACATGTGTTAGCATATTTTTATAAATATTTTCAAGGGTGTTAGCACTCCACTAGATCCTAAATGCATATGTAATGAGTTAGAGCATCTAGTGGTACTTTGATAACCGCATTTTAATACGAGTTTCACCCCTCTTAATAGTACGGCTATCGATCCTAAATATGATCACACTCGCTAAGTGTCTTGATCACCGAAACAAAATGGCTCCTACTATTTATACCTTTGCCTTGAGCCTTTTGTTTTTCTCTTTCTTCTTTTCCAAGTTCAAGCATTTGATCATCACCATGCCATCACCATCGTCATGATCTTCGCCATTGCTTCATCACTTGGAGTAGTGCTACCTATCTCATAATCACTTTGATAACTAGGTTAGCACTTAGGGTTTCATCAATTAACCAAAACCAAATTAGAGCTTTCATAGCTATACTAAAGAGCTTGACAACTAGTTTGAGGTAATGTAAAGAGAGAGAGCAAGATGGTTATACCGTCGAGTCAAGGAATGAACCAATCAATCATAAGAATAAATACCAATCACCTCAGAATCAAATGATGAACACAATGATTTTTTACCGAGGTTCACTTGCTTGTCGGCAAGCTACTCCTCATTGTGACAATTCACTCGCTTGGAGGTTCACGCACTAATTGGCATCACACGCCAAACCCTCAATAGGGTGCCGCACAACCAACACAAGATGAGGATCACACAAGCCACGAGCACTTTACTAGAGTACCTTTTGGCTCTTCGCCGGAAAAAGGTCAAGAACCCCTCACAATCACCATGATCGGAGCCAGAGACAACCACCAACCTCCGCTCGATGATCCTCGTTGCTCCAAGCCATGTAGGTGGCGGCAACCACCAAGAGTAACAAGCGAATCCCGTAGCGAAAACACGAACACCAAGTGCCTCTAGATGCAAACACTCAAGCAATGCACTCGGATTCACTCCCAATCTCACAAAGATGATGAATCAAGGATGGAGATGAATGGGAGGGCTTTGGCTAAGCTCAATACAAATGGCCAAGAGAGTGAGCTTGACCGACCATGGGGCTTAAATAGAGAGCCCCCATGAATAGAGCCGTTGGCTCTCTATTCTCTGAAAAGTCGAGGCGATCGGATGCGCCGGTCAGATCGACCGGACGCAGGACCCCAGTGTCCGGTTGCGCGATGCACGCCACGTGGCCCCTGCTTCAAATGCTGATCGCCCGATCTCAATGTTCATTGGTACATTTAAGTTTTGACCGGATGCACTACAGTGTAGGACCGGACATAGGACTCCAGCGTCCGGTCACTTCCAGTAAGCTTCCATTCATGATCGAACGTGTCAGTTTGATCATGACTAGACGCAGGACCCCAGTGTTCGGTCACTTCCAGTAAGGTTCCAGAGGTGGGAATTCACGACCGGATGCGTCCGGTCGGTCATGATCGGACGCAGCACCAGCGTTCGGTCCTTTCTCTTCTTCTCTGTGCTGCCACATCAGCGGGACCGAACGCACCCACTCCGTGTCCGGTCATGAAGTGACCCAGCGTCCGGTCGAAGACTAATGCCAGCATCTTCACTGCTTCCACCGATCGGACGCTCCGGTCCAGTTGAGGCCAGCGTCCGGTCCACTCTATGAAACCCTGTCTTTTCTGTACAGGGCGCCGGTAAAGTTTTGAACCCTTGCTCCCAAGTGCTAAACACAAAGTGTATCACCTTTGTGCATGTGTGTTAGCATATTTTCACAAACATTTTCAAGGGTGTTAGCACTCCACTAGGTCCTAAATGCATATACAATGAGTTAGAGCATCTAGTGGCACTTTGATAACCGTATTTCGATACGAGTTTCATCCCTCTTAATAGTACCACTATCGAACCTAAATGTGATCACACTCGCTAAGTGTCTTGATCACCGAAACAAAATGTCTCCTACCACTTATACCTTTGCCTTGCCTTTTATTTTTCTCTTTCTTCTTTTCAAGTCCAAGCACTTGATCATCACCATGGCATCACCATCATTATGTCATGATCCTCATTTGCTTCACCACTTGGAATATGCTACCTATCTCATGACCACTTTGATAAACTAGGTTAGCACTTAGAGTTTCATCAATTCACCAAAACTAAACTAGAGCTTTCAACACGTTAGATTTAAGATCAAGGGGCTACCTCACTTTGCTGAGCAAGAAGTCAAAAGGTAGCATGTGCTTGAATCCTAGGAAAGCTTGCCTAAAGGACTATATGGCCAAGATTTTTCCTTGCTTTCATGGGAGGGGTAGATCAGCTCACCCCTACTAGACAAGGATGGACTAGCTTCCCAAGCGAGGCAAGTGTACCAAATAGAACTAAATGTTTTAATGATTGATTGTAAACTTCAATGACTCGACTCTGATATAATGTTTGTTTAAGTGAGTCAAAAATTTAATCATTTATGCAAGTGCATGTCCAATTAAATACATAAGTTTTGAGAGGAACCAAATTTTAGAGTCACAAAGATCATGAAAAACTAGCATACCCAAAGAAATGAATACACACAAAAGAGGAGGTAAGTCGCAATGTGGGCCTATTTGCTTCAAGGCCTCACATGCAAGGAGAGCACCAAACAGAGATCTCTACTCCAAACACTCATAATCCAACGCTTGCGGGAGCACAGAGAGCCAGACAAGTTTGCTTCTCTTCAAAACAAACATGCTGTGTGTGTGAGATAGAGGGAGGGAATGCACACTTGTAATTAATTTGTAAACTTCCTTTCCTTCGTGTAAAGTTCCTTTTCCTTTAGATGACTAGGTGTCATGCTCGCGCACGATATTGCTGCGGTGGTGCTCCATTTATAGTTGTGGGGCCAAACAGAAACGTCTGAAATTTTTATGTCCTGCCTTTTCTTCTCTACCCCCTTCACTTGTCCTTCTTGTGAGCTTTCTCACCCAACGAATATCTCTACAACAACCATATTTAGTGTGGGCGTGGGAAGATTTGGAGATTGTGGGAACCGGGCATAGTGGGACGTTAAGACAGGGGTGACAGACTCTGTGAATCTTATGCCAAAACCAAAGGGCGAGGGGGTATGGCATAAATGATTTGGAGGCGATGAGTTGGGATCTGAACGAGGTAGCATGGCAAGATTTGGGTGAGGTAGCGAGCCAAGAGCTTGAAGTGGCAAGAACCTTGGATCTCAACAAGGCAGTTGGATGGGATCTCAGAGAGGAAGCAAGCCAAGATCCTAAAGCAGCAATGGTGGCGACGACCTTGGATCTCGACGAGGCATCGATATGGAATCTCAAAGAGGCAACAAGCCATGAGTCCAGAGTGGTAGCGGCGTCCTTGGATCTCAACGGGGCGTCAGAGGGGGATGTGAAAGAGGAAACAAGCCTAGAGACCAAAGCGATATTGATGAGCTTGGATCTTGACAAGGCAGTAGGATGGGACCTACCAAGCTTAAAGCTCAAAGCAATGGTGGTGAAATGGGATCTCAACGGGGCAGCATGTCTAGTGCCCAAAGAGGCGGCGACGAGTTGGGATCTCGGTGAGGCGACATGCCAAGATCTCGAAGCATCGAGGATGAGTTGGGATTTGGACAAGGATGCTGAGTGGAATCTCGACGAGGTACCGGGCTTAGAGCCGAGTTCGGATTTGGAGGAGGATGCTGAGTGGAATCTCAACGAGGTACCAGGCTTAGAGCTGAGTTTAGATTTGGAGGAGGATGTCAAGTGGAATCTCGATGAGGTACCAGGCTTAGAGCCAAGTTCAGATTTGGACAAGGATGCTGAGTGGAATCTCGATGATTTACCAAGCTTAGAGCCGAGTTCGGATTTGGAGGAGGATGCTGAGTGGAATCTCGACGAGGTACCAGGCTTAGAGCCAAGTTCGGATTTGGACGAGGATGCCGAGTGGAATCTCGACGAGGTACCGGGCTTAGAGCCAAGTTCAGATTTGGACGAGGATGCTGAGTGGAATCTCGACAAAGTACCAGGCTTAGAGTCTGAAGAAATGGCGAACCACCAGGAACCAACACGACAGGTCTCTGTGAGTTTTTCCTCTCTCTCTTTTATTTTTCTTTGAGATATCTAACAAAAATTAGAAGTTTTCTTGAAACCCTTTTCTAACCAATTTTGGGGAAAGGTTTTGAAAAACACCATACACTAAAACTATTTTTACAAACAAAGCTTTTGGAAAATATTTGTCAAAGTTTTCAACAAATGTGCTATGGTAAAATCGTTTTGGATTCAAGAAAAGTTTCATATTTGTTTTAGAAAGGTCTTAGAGAAAATTAGAGGACATGTTTCGTAGCAAGCTTTTTTCTAAATGCTGCTTCTTGAAGTGTGAGATACTCATGCTTTCCAATCATAAATATATGGGCTGACATTGCTATAATGGATAAATGGTCAGAAGCTAAAGTCGATGAGGTCATTCCTAATTAGTGATATCATGCTCGCTATCCAAGGGTGCCATATTACACTGAGAACATTAAATTCTTAGGGAGGAACAACCTGCATATTATCGTATAAAACTATATACAACACTACAAAAAATGATTATTGTTCCATAAAAAATTGTGTCTAAAGTTGTTACAAACTAGGGCGTTGCTTCAGCCCGTGAGCGCACGCGCAATCGAGTCCGTCCGCATGTCTTCTCCTCCCCTCTCCCAGCTCATCCCCTTCTTCCTCCTATGACGCGTGACCCACGCCCCCGCCGCCACCCACCGCCCCACTGCGGCGCGGTAGGCTCTACCACGTCCATGGCGGCCTCTTCCTTTCCCTCCCCCAGCCATCCCGCTGCCGCCATGGCCATGGGTGCCTCCGCCCCGATCTGGTCCGGCCGCCTCTTACGCCGCCAGAACCCTAACGCTACTCTCCCGCCATCCACACCGTCTAGCCGCCCTGCCTCCCCCGAGCCCCTTCTAAGCCCGCCGGAGTTGGGGACACACACGCGCGCGCGCGCGCACACAGAGAAAGAGAGAGAGGAGAGGATGGCTTGCCGAAGTTGGGGGAAAAAAGAGGGTTGGTGGCGGTCGGCCATCGCGCATATGACGGACATGACGAGCGCATCGGATGGCGGAGACGGTGTGCGCCGAGCGACCATATCCTATGGTAGAAGTAAGCATTCCCGTACAAACTATTAAATTTAATGCCAAAACTACTAGATTTTGTGCCAGACCTGTATTTCTATGGAGACATAGCTTCATCCTGTCATGTAATTAATTTTTTTACAAGTAAACAAAACATTCTACATCATCTAACAAATGCCTATTTGGATTGGGGATTTGGATGGCTAACTTTGGTGGGTAAAAGGTTTTTTAAGGAAATACGACACAACACAATGGCTGTAGTCATTGGGGTTAGTAATTTATGGATCTGTCTACGCAACACTTAAGCGTTTTACGCTCTCCTGACAACCGATTTTTTTTGTATCTTCTTCCACCTCCCAACGCACTGTCGCCGCCCACCGCCCCGCCACGGCGACCTCCTCCTTACCCTCCCCCGCCGTCGTCATGGCCATAGCCGCCCGCCCTAACTTCGCCCGATCACCGCCTCCGCCTCGCCGCCATCTCTCTCGCCCTCACCGCCTGGCCTGCCTACCTCCCTAAAAATCTTTTCTAAGTCCGCCGGAGGTGGAGAAGAGAGAGAGTGATGTAGATGAAGAAGAGGAATTGAGTGTTCCATCAGTCCGTGTTGAACAGTATTTTCTCTAATTCATAGTAATTCATCGTACCGGGGCCGTATGTTTATGGGGCTGAGCTTGGGAATGCTACTGGGGCCCGAAATGAAAATAGATTTTGCCGAACCCAGCCCAGTTTCTTCCAGGTCTGATCTGGTCTGGTGGTGGCGAGTGACTGGTGTGACTCGGCGAGGCCTACAGAGCGTGTCACGCCTTCTCCTCCCCCCTCTCATCAGTCATTTCCTCCCCTTCTCATCCGAGCCCTTCTTCCTCCGCCTCCCCTTCACCCCCCATCTCGCCATACACTTCTCCACTCCTCCTCTGATCACCAGCCGCCCCCGCCTCCTTCTCGATCCCCTCCGATCCAATCCGGTACGTGCGTCGATCCATCACCTGATTCCCCCGTCGGGCTGTACCAGATCGGATCAAGGCCTCGTGACCATCTGATCTTACGACTCGGCGCATAGGAATTTTTTTTCGTTGGTTGTTGATTCGTTCAAGCTTCACGATTCTTACAATACCTTTTTCTGAATTTTCCAGGTTTTTTGCTTGATTGGGCGGGTAGCAACCTGGTCAGTCCAATCCGTCTGTGAAGAATTTTTCCGTATTTTCGTTTGCGTCGCATCGTTTCTGCGAAGGATTTCCTGTTCGTTTGGGGGAAATAAGGCAGCGTCCTTGATGCCTACTGTCGCGACCCCGCCGCCGCCATCGGCGGCGCAAGAGAAGGCCGCCAGCCGGAATAAGCGCAAGTACCGTACCGAGCCACCATCCGCCGAGTTGGACCCATTCGGGCTGGAGTACCCACTGACGGCGGACTGCGTGGGATTCGAGTTTATGTCGCCCGAGAAGGCTGCCCTGGCAGCAGCGGCAGCTGCCGCTGAGGGTGTCAGCCTTGACCTCCTCCAGAACTCGTGCGAAAACTGCAAGGATCGCCATCCTACTGCGGAGGAGTTATTGGAGTGCCAGCGATATGTGAATTGGAGTGACCCAAATGAGACGCAGCTGGAGGAGATCCTTCTCAAGAGTCTGGACACCACCTTTGACAATGCTGTGAGTCTGATCACCACAATGGGCTACTCTGAGGCGGCCGCACGGGCTGCTGTTGTGCGGACAGCTGCACAATACAACTGGAGGGAGAGCCTTGGTGGGTTTGGAGAGGCAGCAGTTGAGGTTCTCAAGACGGAAGGGGACATGTTGCCAAGGGAGGGTGCCTCTGTTGAAGACATGAGGAAGATTGAGCAGGCTGTGCTTGGTAGTATGGTTACGTTGGTAAATGAGGCTCAGCCATTCTACACCACAGGCGATGTAATGTTTTGCTTGCTTATGTCGGATATGAACGTGGCAAATGCCTGTGCCATGGACTACAATACTTCTTCCCTCCCAGCTGTGGCTGCTCAAGTTATTGCCCAACCAGTCGTGGGAAACTATGAGCCTGGTTCAGGTTCAAATTTGTCAGTTTCTATTACCAACCCGCAGACTGGCGCACTTTCCATGGAAAACTTACCCCAGTGCCACCTGGCTCTTATGGTGCTGTGAAAGCTGATTCATCAATGGCACCAGCAAGCCTGAATGTATCAAGTAGCAAACCCTCGGTGTCGGGCAAGACTCAGTGTGTGATCCCAAATATTGAGCCAAAAGAACATTCAGAGGACCAACCATTTGTTGCTGCTGCGACACAATCTGTGAAAAATGACAAGCCATCTCCAAGCAAGAGGGGGGGCTCTAAGAGGGACTCCTTGCATCGGCAGAAGTTGACAAGCTTTGATAAAGGTTCCCGAGCATTGGGTTCCAAAGGCTCTCTTAGGTCTGGCAAGCATAGCTCTTGACCAGTGCAGTATTGGAGAGAAAGTGCAGGTCATTTTCAGATTCTACTACTAGCAACTTGAAGGGCTCATCAAGAGTTGCTAAAGGGTTTGCTGCAAGCATATCTGGATCAGAAGTATCAGTTGACCTTTCCTTTACTGGTACCCTTTCCCCTTCTCCATCATTTGATGCCAAGGATGTTAGTAACTCAAACCCAGCACCTGCTGCTAGCACAGATCTTTCATTGTCATTGCCCTCCTCAAGTGATAGTTTGAATCATGATTCCAATACTGAGGGAGTGGACTCTAGTAGCAAAATTAATTTTTCATATGATGAAGAACAGAAGGTCTGGATCCCACATGATAAAAAGGATGCAATTGTCTTGATCCTTGTCCAGAGGCAGAAAGATCTGCAAGCACATATGCATGACTGGACAGACTGGGCTCAGCAGAAAGTGATGCAGGTTGCACACCGACTTGCAAAGGAGAAGGATGAACTTCAGTCACTTAGGAAAGAGAAGGAAGAGGCAGACCGCCTGCAAGAAGAGAGACACCATTTGGAAGAGAGTACTCGGAAAAAGCTTCTAGAGATGGAGTCTGCAATTTCTAGGGCAAATGCTCAGCTGGAGAAGGCAGAAGCATCTGCTCGCAGACGTGAGGCTGAGAATGCACAACTCATGTTACAGATGGAAGCTGCAAAGCGACATGCAGCAGAGTCAGCAACAAATATTTCAGAGCTTTTAAAGAAGGATGAGAACAGTCGTAAAAGGTCTCAGCGTTGGGAATCTGACAGAGCCCTGTTACAAGAGGACCTTGCAGCACAAAAGAGCAAGTTATCTCGGGTTCAAGAACAGCTTCAACATGCTAAAGAGCTAAAGGATCAAGTGCAGGTACTAACTGTTCTATTTTTACCTCGTTGTAAGTTGTAACCTTATTTTAATTGGATTGGAAACTAAAATAGCACTCCCCCCGTTCCAAATTATAAGTCGCTTTGACTTTTTTGGTTCATTCATTTTGCTATGTATCTAGACATTATTATATCTAGATGCATAGCAAAATGGATGTACCAAAAAAGTCAAAGCGACTTATAATTTGGAACGGATGGATATAATCATATGACCTATGCTCATTTTTTTTATTCATGTGGTTCATCGAAATTTCTTTACTGCTATTGTACTTGACTCTATTAGGCTGCGTGCATGAATAGAATAGCTGGGCCAGTTCTTTCTCTTAGAAATACTAAATTTAATAAATATGATGTAAGGTATCACTGAGAAACTTGTAAGTTATATTAAAATATCTCACTATTTGTTGTGTGATGTGATTCTACTTTTTACCAACACTCCACTATATTCCGTAATAGATAATGATGTTTTTTTGGCTTGTTTATAGCATGTACACGTTGTGATTGTGTTAGTAAGGTTTCATTTCACACCTTTTTTTTTGTGTGTGTTCTCACAACTGAAGGGATTGGGGCTGTTGAGAAGCTTACGGAATAAATGGTAGATAACTGGCTGTCCTAGCTATGACTGCTCTAAGCATACTTAGTATTTCATGAGTAAGCTGCAAACTTTTGTATGCAGAAGTTTCTGGAAGAAGTTCAGAGCTTTATATGGCATTTGCACTTAATTACTAGCTACTTGTCAACTGTTTACAGCATTAGATAAAGTTGAGACAATATTGCTTGTTTTACTATTTGTATATGATGTCTGGTAAATTTCATAGTTTAAACAGATGAAACTACGCCATTGTCTCCATTCCATAGCACCTCTATGGTTTCTCTGACCATTTGTCGAGTTTGGCATGTACTGAAAACCTTCCTTATATCTCGTATCTTTCAGATGTTGGGATGGAAATTACGAAGATACAGAAAATAACTTAGTACTTTTTTTAGATTAGCAAGGCAGTGAATAATAGTAGAGAAGCTGGCTTAGCGCAGACTTGCTAGTAAACCTGGCTTGAGGTGTTCTATACCATCCTTTTACAAGGTTCATTAATGACCAAGATTGTTATTCCTTCTAGAGACTTTAAAAAGACAGGACATGTGTGCCGATTGTGCTTCATGGATCTTTCTTTTTAAATTCAATTCGAATTGATTGTGCTTGCCATGTTGAGTTGAGCAATGAGCCGATGATTAATCCTGTTTATACCACTTGTATAAAGTCTTGTTAGTGTTATAAGGTTGCTACTTGCTATATCTACTTAGTTCGGTTTAATTCGATTCCCTCAACCTCACCTATTTACTTTATAACCTGCCTTCACTATATATCATCACATATTCACATCTTTGTTCTTCTCTATGATTTCGAATACTTGCAGGCAAGGTGGAAACAAGAGGAGGCTGGAAAGGTTGAGGCAATTGCCCTTGTAACCTCAGAGAGGAAAGAGAGGGAGCAAATTGAGACCTCCATGAGGTCAGAAGAGAATTTGCTGCATCTTAAAGCAGCGAATGACGCACAAAGATACAAGAGTGAGATCCGTGCTCTTGAGCAGCATATTGCACAACTGAAGGTGTCCTTGGACTCTTCAAAGGTTGCTGCCCCCAAGTGGGGAACTGACAATAAGACCTATGCATTGCATCTTTCTGAAGGGAGGAAGAACAGCAATGCCCCAATTTTGTCCAACATAGCAGTACCCCAAGATCTTGATTTTGATGATATACAGCGCGACCGGGAGTGTGTCATGTGCTTGAGTGAGGAGATGTCCGTGGTGTTCCTCCCTTGTGCCCACCAGGTCGTCTGTGCCAAATGCAGCGACCTCCATGAGAAGCAAGGGATGAAGGAATGCCCGTCATGCCGGACCCCCATCCAGCGCAGGGTGTGCGCCCGCCCCGCCGGTTCCTAGATTTCACATATACCATTTGGATTTTACTTTTTTGTTTCACCTTGATTGCTCAGCTTGAGTTGATGGAAGATTGGAGAGAATAATAATGAGGGGTGAGTGGTGAAACTTTGACAATAATACATCGTTAAACATCAAACAAGGCCCAGTGGACAGTGGGTACTGGTTGGGTTTGTTGTATGGATATACCGGCCGCTTCTGAATGCTTTGGTTTTGCTGCACTCTGGTTCTAAGTCCTGTACTTTTTGGTAAAAATGCCGGTTTGTGTGATGCTTGGCAGGAAATCTGTTGATCGATGTTGTTATGCCCTGTTGTGCATTCATCTCTAGCTATTGAAGTCCTAAATGAAGTGAGCTTCACTTGTCTCCTTAAGCAGGTCTCTGGATATCAGTTCTCACGGTGGCTCACTCGTCTCCTTAACCAGGTCTCTAGATGTCAGTTCTCACGGTGGCATGGTGCCCGGGAGTTCCAGTTCTATGATGCGAGAGTGGTCTGATTGCAAGCAGTGTAGGCGAAATTTAGACAGAACCTTGTGAAAATACCTTAAAAATGGGACTTGTTTAACATTGGAGTTCGTAGTATGTATAAATAGGTCACGAAAATACAAACTGGGACTGATCTAACATTTGGTGGTGGTGGTGGTGGTGGGGGGGGCAGGGTGGTGAATGTTGCTTAAATTTAGGGTGAATAGTTAAAAATGAAAACTATAAATCTCTTGTGCGTTGGATGTGTATTTGTGGACACTTCTTGCGAGTTCACTGTAGGTGTTTACAGTTTGTTCATAAGGACCACTCAAAGTCACCTATGTGAAACAACTTGTGAAATTAACGTCGATGCCATGTTTAGAGTTGGGCATGTTTGTTAGGGCAGTTCTAACTTAAAAAGAGAACCGTTTCTATAGAGTTAAATGATAAGACGGCTAAACAAAAAAACTGATGTGGCAATCCAATTACTCTGCCAAGATTTAATATAAGTCCTCCTTCCTTTCGCAAAAAAGAGAAAAACTAGTAGAAACGGGTTTTCAACTGAAAAACAAAGGTGACTTAGGCGTCCAAGATGGTGGAAACGATACTTTTCATGTCGGAAGGAAACAAGCCGTTTCTTGTTAGGTGGGTCCCGCAATGGGAGTGCTGCGCCTATACGGCGTTGCTTGCCAATGTGCCGTCACGCTCAGACCGCATGCGCTGTCCTGCCATTAGTGCTAGATAGAACTAGAGGGAAAAAATTAGTGACAAAAATTAATAACGGATTCACGTGAAGAAATTATGTCCTAAAGTTTTTATGAATGATCTACTATAGATGTGAGCATCTATGGAAACTACTATAGTTAAGGTTAGGATTACCTCTAGTGTCATTGTGATGATAGACTCTGAGCAGGGGTAGCGGTTTACAACCTTTGCGTTCAACCCCCACCCCCACACACCACCCACTAATATTTGAATATTTGCACATTACCTAATCTACTTGACATTATTTGATCATACAAGGCGACTAAGACCCTATGAGAGCTTTGGTGATCAAAGTGATATGCTTGAAACATGGTGACGAGTATATGCAGAGTAACTATTATGGCAACGAGTATGGTGACATGTTTGACTATACTTACGTGGTGTATTTTATACAGGTATCGTGCACCGACAAGCTTACCGTGTAAATTGCTATATCACATCCTCTTTAGGGTGAATTTAAAAAATAAAAATTTCTTAGAGAAGTTATTTTCCTTCATCTTGAGTTTTGTTGCATCCAACCTTCCACGGTTACCACCCCATGAAGGAGGGGCTTGAGACTCAGGATGAGAATTCTACTTATGGGTGTGGATAACCACGAATATTACATTCGATAGGTGTAGTTGTGGGTGTGGATAACCACAGATATTATATTGGAAACTCTAAGTGATGGCCCATCGCACTTCTACGCGAGTGCGCGGCCTGGCCTGCCTGACGCCCATGCGGCCCGGCCCGCCAAGTGCATGCGTGCGTATACCGTTTTGATAGTGTTTGCATGATTCACGCCATGCGACCGGCCCGTCGCCCAGTGCATAAGGATGAAAACGAAAGGAAATGGACGGAAAATACCTCTATCGTTTCCGTTTTCATATTTTTTTAATGGAAACGGGAGCGGGAGCAGGACAGCTGGGAGCGGAAACGGTAGTGGAATAAACGGTAATATGAAAACGGGTAAATACGATCAGAAAATCAAACGGTAGCCGGGAACTTAAGCCGGGATTACATATCACGTATGATAACCAAGATACAAAAGTAGAATAAGTAAACGAATAATAAATCTCACATGATTAGTAAAGGTGAATAAGCTAAACTGCTCAGCTTGGCTACTTCCTGCTGCTACGCTCGGTAACGCTCCCAAGTCCCGAGTCCTGACCGCCTGTGCACACATGCATCTAAGAGGAATAGTGACACTACACTGCATGCACACATGTCCTGAGGCTACTTCTTGCTGCTACACTGCATCTACATGCACACATGCTGCCATACCCAGAGCCAAGAAACAGCGACGCAGGATCCAGCCGAGGATTTGGGAGGCGGGAGGCCGCGAACGCCAACCGAGAAGAACCAGGGAGGCCAGCTGATAAGGCGCATAGTGATGGGCTTATCCCGGTTACGACCAAAACGGGATGAATACGGGATTATCCCGGTAAAATACGGTATACCGTAAATACAGACGGACAAGCACTCAACCATTTTTTATTCCGGTCCCAGTGCATTCCGTCTCGTTTCCGGTCCTGTTTCCATATTTTCCCGAAAAAACGAAAACGGACGGTATAAAACGGTATACGGTTGCGGACGGAACATGATTCATCCCGTCCGTTTTCATCCCCGTCCGTTTTCATCCTTACCGGTGCATGTGAGTGTAGACCATGAGACAGTGTTTGGCTGTAGCTCCTCATGAGAGATGGAGGTAGGCTGCTCTATACATTTTTGTTTTGCTTTCTTTCTTTTAAAAATACAATAACTTTCTTATACTTAGTCCATTGTTAGTTTTATATGCACCATTGTATTTCTTATGACGAGATCTATAAAACTAGACCCATGATGCCTATATTTTAAAATATATTCTTTTATACTTATGTTGTATATATAGTAGCTACTTATATATTTGATAGATTATGGTAATCAAAATAAGTGGCCACTTGCTAAAAAATAACTTACCGCATACTCAAAATTACATTTGACAGAAGCACATAATTTTAAACGAATTTGCGGAATAGATTAGTATTGTTGAGGCCTCGGGTTGATATTTTTTTGTGTTTTCTTGCCGATCCAAGTATTATGATAAGTATTTACGTATTTTGCGGAATGTTTTTTCTTTAGTTTTCATTTTTCTATTTGTCAATTTTAGTTTAATTTTCTAGTTGTCGATTTTTGTTTCAGTCATATGTTTCAGTTTTTTGTTTTTTATTATGTCTACTTTAGTTTTGAGTTTGTATTTGTCATTAACCGTTCAATTTTCTAGTTGTCAATTTTAGTTTCATTTTCTAGTAATTTCAGTTTTAGTTTTAGTTTTTATTGTGTTTTCTTTATTTTTTTTCTATTTATCAATTTAAGTTTTATTTCTGATTGTCAATTTATGTTTCAGTCTTATGTTTTAGTTTTTTGTTTTTTATGTGTCTACTTTAGTTTTTAGTTTCTATTTGTCAATTTCAGTTTTATTTTTTGGTTGTCAATTTCAGTTTTCGGTAATTTCAGTTTGTGTAATATGTTTCAGTTTTTTGTTTTTCATTGTGTTTACTTTAATTTTCATTATTTTAATTTTCAATTTCAGTATAATTTTCTGATTGTCAATTTGAGTTTCAGTGTTATGCTTTAGTTATTTGTTTTTTATTGTGTCTACTTTAGTTTTTAGTTTCTATTTGTACTATTGAGCCACTTGTGATGAGATCTATGAAATAAGACTATGATGCACGTGTTTCAAAATAGTTTGTATGTACTGACAACTTATGTTATATATGTAATAGCTATTTATGTATTAAGCATGTAGCAACCTATATATTAACCTTCCAATAAATTATATATACTAGCAAACGTGTAGCAAGTTATTTTTCATTTTTCAATATTTTTTTTACTTATTTGTATTATTGAGCCACTTGTGATGAGATCTATGAAATAAGACCATGATACATGTGTTTCAAAATAGTTTGTATGTACTGGCAACTTATGTTATATATGTAATAGTTATTTATATATTCAACGTGTAGCAACCTATATATTAACCTTCCAACAAATTATATATACTTGCAAATTGTAGCAACTTATGTATTAAGCATGTAGCAACTTATTTGTCAATTTCATTTTTCATTATTTGTTCTCACTTTTAGTTCTAGTTTATTGTAATGTTTTGTATAATAACTTGCTCTCGTAGTTAACAGCTTATGCAATGCTTGTTTTAATAATTTGCCCCTCCATTGCAGCTTGTCCTATTTTGAGACACTATTCTCATTAGGGGTTATATTTATGTAAATACTATTATAATAATTTTATTATATTTCCGTGATAACAACTTTAGTATATTTTTTAGTAACAACTTTAGTATTACATGGTAGTAACCTCTTTGATAAATCTCTTAACACATATTTACACATAAATTACTCCTAAAATAATTTTTTAAACATAAGCAAGTGGGGTCTAGTTTTGTTCGTCTCGTCACGTAGAATACATCGGTATAGACAGAATTAAAAACGAATACACCGTTTAAAATCTATAGCAATTCAAAGCAAATATGGAGTAGTATTTTGTTTTCTTGGTTTGCGCGTTGCCTCGACCACATGCAGGCAACGGCGGCAATAGGCTTCTCGGGGCACAACCGCATCGATTTTTTAGCCTTTTTTTGAATTTTTTTCACAAATATGTCTCTAGAGGTATGATTTTAAAATCTGGACCCTTAGCTCGGCGCCATCGTTACTAGCGTCGAGCTTACACTTCTTAGTGCCACCGTTGCTGGCGCCGAAGTCTTGGGCTCGATGCAGACGTGGCGGTGACTTGGCAGGC